TGAGTCTCTTTCTCAATCACCCTCCATATTAATCAGTTGTAGTATAGTATATAGTTTTTATCAATCCAAAGGAGTTATGAATAGATGCCAATAGAATTATGAGCAGAAAACATTAAGTCAAATGAATTCAGAGAAAGAGTGTTGCTTATCAACTAAACTATCAACCTAAGTAAATCAAGAACCAAGCAGATCCTAAGAAAGAACAACTTAGCAATGATCCAATGCAAAACAGAGCAATAAAAACAGAATACTAAAGCAAATTCAAAATTCAGATAATAAAAGACAAGCTCCTAGGTGTAGTTATTGACTTTGAGGAATTCAAAGGCAAGACAAGACTGTTTCAAACATCATTGACAATGCAAATAAACAAGCAATGCTAATTTCTAGGCATATAGTTCACGATCAAGCAAATTAAGTTCAATCTCTTGACAAATAACCCTTTGATAATCATCATAACAACAACTAACTCTCATTAGTTCTAGAAAAATCAACAAGCATGCAAAACAAACTCTATTCAAGCCAAAATACTTCTCAGGCGGTCAATCTCTTGAGCTAAGACCAGTAAATCCTCTATTAAACAATATCAACATTTCATCAAACACTTGGTGGGCATAAGATGAAGCATAAATCAAGATAAATAAAGCCTAAACACAGATTAATAAAGAGGAATCAACCTAATTAAACACTAACAAACTCTAATCAAGCCTCTAAATTCCCCTAATCTACCACATCTAAGAACCCTAAAAGGACTACTCACTCATCATCATGGAAAACACCAAATCACAAGAGGAAAAGATGTTAAACATGATTAAGAGGGAGATTAGAGAAGATTTAATGATGTAAATACAAAACTTTAGATTAAAAAGAAGATCTTGTCTTACAAAGATGAAAGAACACTTAAGAAACTAAGCAATATCAAAACTTGGCTAAAAACCATTAGTCCAAGCCAATTTATACTAAGTGCCAGAAAACCTAAAGCAATAGCAAAGTTGTAAATAAAAACATCTCGGATTAGGCTAACATCGATCACAAGTGATCAATGTGGATGATCGATGCTGGTCTCCTGGTGCTTGACATCGATCAGTCTTTGGTCGAAGTGCTTGATCGATGCAATCTTCAAAGCTCTCTGGTCAAATACATTGATTAGTCTTGGTCGATGTGGTTGTCCTATGTCTTGATATCGATCACTTGTGATCGATGTGAGTGATTGATGTGGACCTCCCAACTCTCGGCTGCTTTACATCCAACAATGTAGACTCCAAGCTTGATCGATGTGATTCACATCGATCGATGTCGATCTGGTCATGATCGATGTTGCACCAAAAGTCATCTTCCTTAGCTCCTTTTGCTCCTACTTAGCTTGGGCAACTCCTTGAATCATCCCCATGCTTCCTCCATGCTCCAAATAGCTCCTTTGGCACCTAAAAACATTCTTAATGCAAAGAGAATGCAAACTACAACCTAAATGCAACCTGAGTCTAAAAAGAAAGGAAAATGGGACTAAAGAAAAGGAAAACATGCAAAAAGAAACCAAAACATGAACTAAATGCAAGCCTAAATGATGTACATGCAAGAGATATCAGTACACCACTCCCTTATCAGTTGAGTCTACCAGCTGCAAGCTCAAACCTTCAGAGAGAATATTCTACTTTGGCTTCTTTTGGGACCTCTTTGGGCGTCTTCTCCTTTAGTATAGGCTGGGGCTCTCCAAACAGAGTAGGCACACAGCACCCATCAAGGCCTATCTCATTATGCTCATTGATGAGAGGCCAATTTTTAGCTCCTCCTTGTTCTGCTTCAACCTCAAGTGAATAAGCTTGCTCCTCAGCTCCACACTTTGCTCCATTTATAACAAACTTGATAACTTCACTATCACTTAGCCTTAACTCAACCAGGCCTTTCTTCACATCATCATCAAACAGTGCTCTAACTGAAGCCACAAATGATTTACCCAAGATGATTGGGTTCTTTATCTCACCTTCCAAGTCTAGTACCACAAAGTCAGTTGGTACCTTCACTTTTTCCATTATAACAGGCAGGTCCAGTAGCAAACCATCTAGACTTCTCTTTGTTCCATTAGCTAAGACAAGAGATATACCACTCTCTTTAAAACTTGTATACCCTAAACTCTTGGCAGTTAAGAAATGCATCAGATTTATATTGGCTCCTATATCACACAAGCAGCTTGTGAATGATGAGCTTCCCATTTTACATGGCAGAGTAAAGCATCATGGGTCTCCCAGCTTCTTGACAACAATCTTTTCAGCCTCATGTGGTGCATCTCCTGGAGATGACAAGTTTTCTTTACTCAGCTTTCTTGCCTCAGCTAGAAGCTTGTCCTTGAGAGCTATAATACCAGGGAGCAGCTTATGTGGTTCATTAAGCATCTGAAAGCTCTTCTCAACCTCTTTCATAGATTCAAGAAACAAAGGTTGCTGTTTTGCTACAATTTCCTTCTTCAACTTCATGTATATGGAAGAGCAGATTTGTAAAGTGGATGAGGTATGTAGGGAGTTGCTTTCTCTTCAGTTATCAACTTTTGCTTCCCCCACCCACCTAGGAATTCAATGTCCTCATTGATAGTAGCAGGCGTGACAAAGGAGTAAAAAAACATTCAGGACCATAGAGGAGTCTCTCTAACTCATCAATAGCAGCTTCATTATCAGCTTGACTTGACACAGCAACACAAGAATTAGCATTGTATAATTTCTTGGAATTGGCTCCAGGCTTTCCAGGAAGCTGATTTTGAGATCTTGAGGTAGTGGTAATACCCTTATTATTCTCCAAATTCTTGACTCTAGTGTACCCCTTAAATCTTTCCCATGCCTTACAGAAACTTTCTTGAGACCCTTGAGTGAACGCTGAAATCAGATTCCTCAGTCTAGCAGTCCTGGAGTCGTAGAAGAATTTTGTCAAGAAGACTTGCTTACACTGCACCCATGATTTGATGGTACCTTGAGGTAAGTTCTTCTCCCACAGTGTGCTTTGTCACCCAAAGAGAAGGGAAACAATCTAACTTTGAAGCCATCCTCAGAAACTCAATTGATCTTGATCATAGAGCAAATTCTGTCAAACTAATCCAGATGATCAAGCGGGTCTTCCAAAGGCAGGCCATGAAACTTGTTATCTTAGACCATGGAAATCAAGCTGCTCTTGATCTTAAAGTTGTTATTGGCGACTGGGGGAGGGATGATCCCATATCTTGTGGCATGAGTGTTTGGTGCATCCGCTGCGCCAATGACCTTTGCTGGTCTAAGAGGATGAACTGGAGCTCTTCCATTAGCTCATGGAGCACTAGCTAAGCCTTGAGATCCTTGTGGCCCTTGAACACTCGGTAGTCCTTGTTCACTTTTGGCACCAACAACAGCTTGTGGGTCATTCATATTGACTGCCCTTGCACTGTCTTTTCACACAAATATGTCCATATTATCCAAAAGGGACAGGAGATGGTTTGATCCTTGTGATCTCAGATACATACACCTGAAAAAACAAAATCAAAACAAAATCAGTAAATAAACAAAAAACTTAGTCTCATAGAAATTCAAAAGTTCTATGATCAAACAATTCCCAAAAAATAACAGCACCAAATTGATAAGCATATTTTAGCTATTCAAACAATTAACCCAACTATTAATTAGATATAGCAAAGCACTGGAACTTCTATCCATCCAAATAAAAAAGCACATTTTCTAATTAATTTAAAATAAGTTATTTATATTTTAACAATTTTTTTACATATATCTTCCAGTAACCTCCTTTAACGTCCAACACTTTCTCTAATTAATTTATAAATTCGTTATTTACTTATTTTAGGTTATTCTGACATTCACTTATATATTTTAGCGTCAGCTTAATATATAGTTTAAGTCGACAGAAATAAAAATAGTAGAGGTCTCTCGACGGACGTCCATCTGTTTACATATTTTCTCTATGGGATTGTCACTTATCTCCATTGTGGTTAAAATGATAAGATACGGTTGGATTCGTGTACTATCCGATAACCGGAAGATGATTTATCGTCACTTGTCAGATGATACAAGCGTCAACTTCATTGCTTATGGGATGAATTTTGGAGACATATTTGCTTGACTACTTAAGACCATGTCCAATGGTAGAAATTTTTTGAGGTTCTGATTATTAAAAGCAATTAAAAAAATGAAAAAGTAGGAGAGAGAGAAAGAAAAGTTTAGATATAGATTCTAAAACCTCTGATTTAAGAGGCGATCTAAACAATTTTCTGATACTCTTAAAACATGTGTCATTCAATTATTAGTTTACTTCTTTTTATTATTAAAATTAATTATTTTATTAAATTATAATAATATAATATTTTTAGAAGACATCTCTCCCGTTGGAGATGCTCTAAGTTACAAGCCTAGCTTATGCTTTTTAATTCGCCATTTCCACTAAGAACTTGTTTTGTAAGTTCATAAAAAAATAGTCTCAATAAGTACTAAAATTGTAAAAGGTAGCTGAAAAATAGTAATCAACTGTGTCGGGTAAAATATTTTTGGAACTAAACAACTTAAAGTTATAAAGCCTACAAGGTAGTTTATCTCTTAAGCGCCGTCCAAACATGCTTTTTGATCATTGTATAATCTAAATAGTGATAACATAAATTTAATATTTATGAGACTCGAGTAAATGGTAAATTAGATTTGAAAAAGTTAGAAGCATTTGCTTAAAAATGATCAATTCCATTTTACTTTTTTCAAAAAAAGATTCCTAAAGGATCCAATGATCATAGAGAAATCCATGTATTATGAGGTCAACAAATGAGAACCATACAGTGATGGAAGAAGTCAAAGGAGCTGTGTTGGCAGAACAGAGGAACAAAAGACTTGCTAAAAGTCTTTTGTGTCATAAAACAAATCAGTCAAGTCAACCCAATCAACACGCCACTACACATTGTAACACTGCCCACACCATTTTCTCTTTCACTTTCCGTTTTCAATTTTTCTCATCTATATTTTCTTGGCACTCTGTTTTCTTTCATTAAGATGAAGAATGTTCCTCCAGAAGCAGGCAAGTCTATATTCTGTCTCTTCTTTTTCATCTTCTTGTCTTGTTGTAATCTCTGTTTCTCGGAGCTGTCTTCGAGCCAGACAAGCACAATGATCGAGCTCTCAAGATTCCTCAATATCTCAGATTGGAATCTTCCTGGTTCTGAGAGGAATCCATGTTTATGGAAAGGTGTTCTCTGTAGCCAACCAGACAACGGCTCTGTGATAAACCTGTCTCTCTCTGGCTTTGATCTCACCAATTCTTCCTTTTTATCACTTGTCTGCCAAATCCCGACTCTCGAGCATCTTGATGTCTCCAACAACATCTTGAACTCAATCCCAGATGGGTTCATGACGAATTGTGAAACACTCGTTGGGTTGAAACATCTGAACTTCAGCGGGAACCAAGTTTCTTCTTTTCCTGGTTTCCGAGGTTTCTCCAAATTAGAAGTTCTTGATTTCTCTAACAACAATTTAAGTGGGAACATTGGAGACTATGGTTTACATGCTTTGGTTCAGTTGAAGAGACTCAATCTCAACTTCAACAATTTAACTGGTTCAGTTCCGACCAATTTGACCAAAAGCCTGGTGATTCTGAAGGTTTCAGACAATCATTTGAGCGGTACTATCCCTGAAGGCATCCAAGATTATCAAGAACTAACGCAGATAGATCTCAGTGATAATCAGCTTAGTGGGTCAATCCCAAATTCGTTGGGAAACCTCACCAAGTTAGGAAGTTTACTTCTTTCCAACAACCATCTTAGTGGGTCAATACCAGAATCACTTTCAAGCATACAAACCTTGAGTAGATTTGCAGCGAACCGTAACAGATTCACCGGAGCAATTCCATCAGGGATCACAAAACACCTCGAGAATTTAGATGTCAGCTACAACAATCTGAATGGGTCGATTCCAGGTGACCTTTTGTCGCAGCGTAAACTCATCTTTGTGGATTTGTCGTTTAATCAGTTTGATGGTTGGATTCCGCAAAGCATTTCGCCTAGCCTTGTTAGGCTGAGACTAGGAAGCAATAAGCTAACAGGGCAAATGTCTTCTGCTGCGTTTGAGTCACTTCAGAACCTAACATATCTGGAGATGGACAACAACAGTTTAACTGGTCTCATACCTCGTGAACTCGCTTCGTGTCCGAGCTTGACTCTCCTCAACTTGGCTATGAACAAGTTCACAGGGATCTTATCTCATGCAATTGGAAACCTTACCACCACGCTTCAAGTGATGAAACTGCAGCAAAACAAGCTTACAGGAGAAATCCCAGATAGTATCAAACGGCTAAGTAACCTCTATACTCTTGACATCAGCTGGAATTCTCTGAATGGTTCCATACCACCTTCTATCTCGCAGCTAAGGAATCTTTCCACCATGAATTTGCAAGGCAATAAGCTTAGTGGTAGCATACCTGCAAACATTGGAGATCTGAATAGTCTCATAGAACTCCAGCTCGGTGATAACCAGTTAAGCGGGAGGATTCCAGTAATGCCACCAAAGTTGCAGATTTCCTTGAATCTCAGCTACAACTTGTTTGAAGGGCCTATCCCTACTTCTTTGTCTCAACTTCAGCAATTGGAAGTTCTTGATCTGTCAAATAACAATTTCTCAGGCGAAATCCCTGATTTTCTGACCGTTTTAGTATCCCTTACACAGCTCATACTCTCCAACAATCAGCTAACCGGGTTTGCTCCCAGGTTCACCAGGAATGTGATACTCAATGTCAGTGGAAACCTCGGTATTAAGTCTAGAAAGGATGAAGTCTATATTCAGAAAAAGCCACCAGGGAAGAGTAACCTGATTTTGGTTGTAATCTTTGTCGCCACTGGAGTTCTTGGTCTCGTGGCAGTGATCATAACTGTCATCGCGTTGAAATTCTCTAGGCGTTTCAACGGAGTTAACAACATGCAAGTAGACCCGGTCGAAGAAAGATCAGTCGAAGTTCCCGAGGTCATTCATGGCAAGCTTCTTACTTCAAACGCTCTACACAGATCAAACATCAACTTCTCCAAAGCTGTGGAAGCTACTGCTCATCCAGAAACTGCTCTGTTACAGACAATATTCTGGAGTTACTACAGAGTACCCATGCCCTCTGGTTCGAGTTACCTCATCAAAAAGCTCAACACAAGAGACAGGCTTTTCCAGCAAGCCAGCAGTGAGCAGCTAGAGCAAGACCTAGAGATGTTAGGCAAGCTACATCACCCAAACGTAATGGTTCCAATAGCTTATGTGCTCTATTCAGAAGGGTTCTTGCTTTTCTATGACTTTGCTCACAGTCATACCCTTTACGATGTTCTACACAGCCATCCCAGCGATGTGGTTGACTGGACGAGCAGGTACAGTATAGCAGTTGGCATAGCTCAGGGAATCTCCTACTTGCATGGATCCAAATCCAACGATGGTGTTCCAATCCTTCTACCAGATCTCTCTAGTAAAAAAATAATGCTCAAATCGCTCACTGAACCCTTAGTAGGAGACATTGAACTGTTCAAGGTAATCGATCCTTCCAGAAGCAATAGCAGCCTCTCAGCAGTTGCAGGCACCATCGGCTACATTCCACCAGGTAAGCATATAATACAAAACCTTATTTTGAGCGTGTCTGAGAAACAAGAGCTCTCTTAAACTTTCACTTTTGATCTAATCATCAGAGTATGCTTACACAATGAGGGTGACAATGGCTGGGAACGTCTACAGCTTTGGGGTGATTCTTTTGGAGTTGTTAACTGGAAGACCAGCGGTAAGCGAAGGAAGAGAATTGGCTAAGTGGGTGCAGAGCCATTCGAGCCATCAAGAGCAGAGCAACAACATTCTTGATCTCAGAGTGAGCAAAACATCAAATGTAACAACAAAGCAGATGCTCCGTGCCCTCAGTATTGCTCTTGCTTGCATAAACATCTCTCCTGGGGCAAGGCCAAAGATGAAGACTGTCCTACGGATGCTCACAAGACTCTAAGTAAAAGTATTAGATGATGCATGATATGTTTATTTTTGCTTGTTGTTGTATGATAAACAGCATAGAGAGGTTTCCTCTGGCAGTTTCTTATTTCGAGATGCCGAGAAACAAAGAAGGATCTAATGCATTCAAATTTGTTGTTTAAACTATCAGTCCATATCATATACATCAGATGAATATCAAAACCTAGGAACACCAGATGGCTACAGATGATCGAAATCATAAATGGGCATTTGTATGAAAAAGTCAGCAACAAAATCATGTGGGAAGGTTTCAATGCGCCAAATGTTGCAGGAGATATAGCTCAAACAAAGAAATGATTATGTTCAACATTACTCTCAAAAGGTCGATTCTATCAAAGAAACTGATTACCGCAGAAATACAAGCTCCCATGGAATCAAAAGCAGAGAAGACTGGGTAGCGAAAAAAGGAGTAATTTGGCCTAGAATGTAAGGTCCGTTGGGTCCTCAATAATGCTGGCCAATGTTTGCAAGAACTGTGCAAGATCAGCACCATAGATGACACGATGATCTGCCGTCACATTCACCTGTGGGTTTGCAAGTGACCAGACATCATTAACAAGTGCCCAAGACAACTCGGAACGGTTCCATAAAGACAAAAGGAGAAGAGCAACAAGTTCTAACGATGGTTGGTAATAAGAGTTACCTGCATCTGGCTTTTCATGCCAATGCGCCCGTCTTTAGTAGCTACCACTGTAGGTTGTGATGCTCCTACAGCCATAATCGCTCCCTTCATTGATCATCAGAGACGAGAAAATCAATGATCTGTTATACCTTAGCAAAATTATTAGGTTACATGAAATTAGCACTTACAGTTCCAGGGGGCAGAATGGCATCAAACCGATCAACACCAAACATTCCAAGGTTAGAGAGAGTGAAAGTACCTGAAATTAGCCCGAATGAAAATAAGAAACAAGACTCAAACGATCTTTACATCTGATCATGAACCCATAAAACAAGCACCGCAGAACCGCAAATTCTATAAAACACTATCATATTTACCAGTGTTATACTCCTGAGGCTGAAGCTGCTTGGCTCGGGCCTTATCAACCAATTCTTTCCACTTTCTAGACAATGAATAAATGTCAACCTGTTTAGAGAAAAATAAAACAATCCGTTGGAGCCGGTTTCAAAGGCGGAGTTAAATCAAGACTGGTGAGAAAGCATACAAAAGAAAATATAAGCAAAATCAAAGAACCTGATCGGCGTTCTGAAGCACTGGAGTGATCAAACCACCATCAATGGCAACAGCAACAGCAATGTTGATGCTACTGTTGTACACAAAACTGTTACCATCTCTGCAAGACGAATTTACAACTGGATGTTTTGCCAGTGCAAGTGCGGTTGCCTTCGCTAGGAGTGCCGTCATTGTCACTCCTTTCGACTTAATCTATAAACCAACCAAACAAAAAAATAGTAAACAAATTCAATAACACTTTCAGGTTGGTACCAGTGTATGCCTCTGATGCACATCATAAGAAACTATCATAATCTCATTCACCGATTATTACTATCGTTCAACCTTTATAACCGATTTCATGGGTTCCCTATAGATCAAATTGCGTTGTTACTTAAGCATCTATGTAACAAATTGCCTTAAGAACTCTAACCCTTAGGCTCCAATCTTCTTCAACTTTACTATCATCCCAAAGTTCGAAACTTTTCAAACTTCTTTTGTACCATCGCCATCAACCATTTTAGTTTTGCAATCACAATCGTCCAAGTTTCTAATCATGTAGAGCAACTCAAATCTCAAAAACAAACTCACCTTCTTATACAGAGCATCAAGAGAATCCGTGTTGATTGTGTATCCCACTCTAAAAGTCGGAACCACCAAACTCTCCACCATGTTCCGGCTCACAGCTCCCTGCATTGTCGTGAATGGAACCACCGATCCCAACTCTACACGAGCAGGAGGAGCCGCCGCCGTCACCGCCGCAGATACCTCCGTTTTAACAGCTGGAGCAGCTACAGCCGCTTCAACATCTTTAGCCACAATCCTTCCCATTGGCCCACTTCCAACTAAACCAGCCAACTCCACTTTCAATTCCTTTGCTAGCTTCTTAGCATAAGGAGAAGCCACGATTCTCTTCCCTCCTTCAGACGCCGGATGCACCGCAGACGCAGACGCAGACGCTATTGGCGGAGGAACCGAAACCGAAACTTTCTTTTCAACAACCGCAGGTGTTTCGGATACAGGAGGAGGAGGAGGTGGAGACTGAGAATTGGCTCCACCACCGGAAGCTTTAGCCCTAGCATCGGCGATTTCTTCCTCGGTCTCAGCTAACAAAGCAATGGCGGATCCGACGGGAGCAACACCTCCTTCTTCGACCATGATTGCGGCGAGATAACCGTCGTAGAAAGTCTCAACGTCCATATCGGCCTTATCGGATTCGACGACGACAACACTCTCTCCTTTACTGAGCTTGTCGCCTTCGGATTTGACCCACGAGACGATTTTTCCTTCGGTCATGGTGGAGCTGAGAGCAGGCATGAAAATCTCGTGGATCTTCGCTCGTACGGGGACGATTCGGGGCTTGTTGGACCGGAAATTGGGAACGGAGGATCGGGTTTTGGAGTGGAAAGAAGTTGAAGAAGGAAGGAAGGATGTGTGGAGAAGACGAGACATTTTTTTTTCCTTTGGGATTTCGTAAATCACAATGCACGAGAGTGTGAAAGAGAAGGAGAAAGAGAGCGAAAATGGGATTTAAGGAGAGAGAGAAGAAGAAGAAGATCGAAGCTCCTCGGAGTTATCGAAAGAGCAGACGGAGTGTGGTTTGCCAACTAATTTACCGGTGACGGGACACTGTGACTGTTAATATTTTGTGGAAGGTTTCATACACGCGCTCAGCTTTGGGGTGAGTAATGGGCTTTTAAGTAGGGCCCAAAAGATTGTTGAAGCCTTTATGTCCGTTGGTGACCAAATTTTAATATGTGAAGTAGGTATATAACTCGCAAGCACTCTATATAACTCGCACGCGCAAGTGTATGTTAATAGTTTGGTTTAATTTTTTTAGCTATTATCTTTAGAATTATTAAAACTATAATAAATTTATAGGAATTTTTATTTATATAAGATAATTTAATATATAATATATAATTTTTTCTTATTTTTATTTATAAATTTTAAAAACTATTAGGTAAAATAATAACAATGACATCTATCGAATTATCCAATTTTGGCGTACATATACATTTGATTTAGAGAAAGATTTTTTTGATAATATTTTGGTATTATTTTCTGTTTTACATAGAATTTCTATAGTTCTTTTTTTTTGAAGGTTTATGTGTTCAAATATTTAGTCTTTTTATATTGAAAATTTTATTGATGTTGTGTACCACCGCATATATAATCCATAATTCATGTTGATTCGCATTTAGTTTTGTTAGGAAGCTGAAATGATCATGCAAACCCATATTTTCCTTCTCCCACATGTCTTCCAAGAGTTTTATGTTATATTTTTATTTAGTTTTCATTGATATCTATTTTTTTACAGTCTAATATTTGATAATTTTAGTTTTTAACTTGTAGGATCGGTGGTGTGGAGTCTTCGCATTATTTTTCACTGTTTTTATCTTTTGTGTGCAATATGCATGCTTTGATTTGAATATTTCATCTACATATAGCAATTTGAGTTTGATTCATACCTATGTCATACTTTATTATTTAAATAGAATTTTAAAATGTATTATTGATATTGATACAGATATAAGTAGTGGCTATATATATAAATCATATTTTACTACTTGTTAAATACCGAGTGTAAAGTTATTATAGTATTTTTCTTTGTTAGTTTTTAAATCAGAAACATCAAGTGTATTAATCATTGTATATTTAAAAATATGTTTGGTTTAGAAACTCATGTAAACTTATTGCAACTTTAGATAGTTATTTATTGTTGATACTAATACTTTAGAAAAGTTGTTTATTGTTGATCCTAATACTTTAGAAATCAGGAAATTTTTGAAACTAATTTCAAATTAATTTTGTTTTAAATATTTTTTTGTTGATAATTTACATCTTTTGATAGTAATTTTTTTTTATTTTAGTTTACATACTGTTTGTATGTTTGATATACTTAGGACTTATATTCTTTTTATTAAGCTCTTTTGTTGTTGATTTTCCAAATATATATCATAGACATCACATTAATTTCTTTTATACAAATACTTTTTCTTTGTTAAATTTGATTTTTATATTAATTTTAACTCTAGTTATAATGCTGATTTTATATGCTCTATCTGTTGAATTTAAATATTAGATGGACTTTTCTAAAAAGCTTATAACATCATTTGTTTATTTTTGTTAAGTTTTTTATCTTGATTTTCAAAATCTTTAGCCCAAATTAGTTTCCTTTTATACAACTTTTTCATTTGCAAATTTGCCTCATTTGATAATGATTTCTATTTTATTTTGAAACATAAATTTATAACATGTTGAAATCTAAAAAATCTTTTAATAAAACATGTTTAATTTCTCATCATATCATAATAGCTTTAAAATAGTTTGGTTTCATATCTAAAAATACAATAGGAAATTAAAATATGGTGAGGTATATGCATGTGAGCGTACTTATTATGTCAAATAGTCAGTATAGTCAGTAGTTGCTTCAATATTTTTGTCAGAAAAAATCGGATGGAAAAAGTGGAGTTCAAAAATAATACTTCTACATGATGAAATTTAAAGTATGGTGTTGGGAGTTAAATAAATCTTATTATCTCATTTATTTCAGGATTTAACATCATCATATAATATATAAAAGTTGATGGTATAGTGCATCGAGGGCGTCCACATGAGATTAAAAAACTCAATATGATTAGTCCACATCAACATATTCATTAAATAAAAAAATGTTAAGTATGATTAGGACGAAAAAACTTGATTTAATTGGTCCATATCAGCTTTTAAATCAAACCAAAAATTATTAAGTATAATTAAAACATTAAAAGTTAATTTAACATATTATGTCCAACAAAAAAAAGTAAATTCAATCTGATTGATCCAAATCAACATATTTATTAAATCATACAATGTTAATATGGTTTAAAAATTTTAAATTTAAATTAAAAATTAACAATTAACAATACATGTATAAAAAAGTAACCATTATCAATTATCAATTTAAAAAAATCTATAACAACTCGATTCAACAATTAAAACAATGAAAACTGAATAAAAATATAACATAAAACTCTTGGAAGACATGATGGAGAAGGAAAAAATGGTTTTGCATGATCATTACAGCTTCCTAACAAAATTAAATGTGAATAACATGAATCATAGATTATATATACAGTGGTACACAACATCAATAAAACTTTCAATAAAAAACTAAATATTTGAACACATAAACCTTCAAGAAAAAAAAGAACTATAGAAATTCTATGGAAAACAGAAAATAATACCAAAATCTTCGCAAGACTATATTTCTCTAAATCAAATGTATATGTACGTCAAAGTTGGATAATTCGATAAATGTCATTGTTATTATTTTACCTAATATTTTTTAAAAATTTATAAATAAAAATAGGATCAATTACACATTATATATTAAATTCTCTTATATAAATAAAATTATCTATAAATATATACAATTTTTAATAATTTTAAAGATAGTGGCTAAAAAAAATAAACCAAAATATTAATACAGACTCGCGCGTAGCGCGAGTTATATACCTAGTATTTTCATAAAGAATAGTAAAACAATGGTAATTATATGTTTGAGATTACGAACCTTGAAATATTTTTTGGCTCATAATTGTGACTAGGAGTTGATAGGGCTCAGGTTTTATCCAAATAAAACTACTGCAAGTGCACAGCAAAAGCAGTTGTAGTACAAGGGGTATCGAAATCCCAAGAGAGTAATGCAGACTACACTATCGAATATAGATTCGGATTAAGCTAAGCAAGATATGATGTATGTAATGAGAATGAATGAATGAAAGTAAGCAAACGATTTTGTTAGATGATCTAAGTTCCAGAAAACTAAAAGCGCTAAGTCAGGGCAGTTCGCAGGTTGAATCCAAGAATGTATGACGCAGGAAATCAGGAATGATTAAGAACCGTTTTAAACATGAATCACTGATGCATAACTAATCAATTCTCATTGCAAAAGTTATCTGTGCCTAAATCACAGAGTTTCAAATCTCTTTGCAAACTCTAACAACCTAAGCATGCAGGAATGATCAGATTCAATTGTTTACAAAACTCCTAACCCAAATCTCTTTGCACTAAGTTGCTTTGCTCATCAAATACTAGTTCAGGTTATGAATAATGCTCTCACATATATTTAACAACCTAAGATTTTCGGATTCCTAGATGATGTATCTCAGAAATTCGATTTTAAAGCAAGCAGAGATGAAAAACCATAAGATATTCCTAACAGATAGCGATTCTACAATCTTTTCATCAACCTTTGAAAAACCCTAACTTAACTAGCAGACTACTCAGACATGATTATGAAATCACAAAACATAACTGAATAATATTGCATTAAGAGAAAGAGTAAGAAATAAAGGGGGTTCAAAATCTTCTCAAAAGAGTACATGATTTGTCTCCCCAAAAAGCTCTGAATAAATCTCTCTCTAAGCTCTCTGAATTCTCAAAAACTAAGATAATAGCCAACAATGGCTGAAAAACCTAATAAATAGAGGCTAAACACGATCTGGGGTCTTCATGTAAATAAAGGAACTTCTGGGCCAATTCTGCAAATCTTCTTCATACTTTTAATAAAACAGCCACGCTCCTTCCTTAATGGGTGACGAGCGTCACCAAAGGTGGTGACGAGCGTCACCATATGTGATACTTTTTGCTTCGAGCTTGATACTTCGTGGCTTCCACCCAGAATGCTCCAAAAGGTTCCAAAATCTCCAATTATGCTCCAGACATCCTATAACCTGCAAAGACTCTTCTAGGACTCTAAAAATACCAAAAAGACTCAATAAAAAGAACTTATATCATGGTTAAAAACCATAAAAACCATGATATATCAACTCCCCCAGACTTAGCTTTTGCTTGCCCTCAAGCAAACATCAGACAAAGAATAAGGTCGAGGTTTAAAAACAAGAAACAGTCAGTCAGTCATCAGGAACACCATACTAGTTAGAGCTTTCGAATCCACATACCACATAGTCAACACAAGGTCAAATTTCAGTCTAATTATCACAAGCTTAGCAAATCTCTCAAGTCCAGTCCAAATCCCTTCAAGAAATCCGAAATTTCTACTGTTAACTCCTTATTTTTTTTATCTAAGTGTGAAATCTCATCAAGACTCTATCATCTCAATCACTTTACAGATTTTTTTCCCTTCCTAACAACTGAACAAATAGATCTCAACACAACTCTCCTATTTTCTCTTCCCTTAATCTTTTCCTTAGGATATTTTTGATTTTTCACTTCTTTTTTTCAACTTTTACAGTCTAAGATATGGGGCTACTCAATACTTGTGTTCCTTGTGAGGAGACAGGTTCTTGAGTGTGTTCACTACTGTTGTTCCTTGTGAGTTGACAGGGTCATGAATGCACTATTCTTTGGACTTAATCTTTTTTTTTAAAAAAAAACTACATCAGGGAAGATCAAAGAGAGATTGTATTTTAACCTTATTGTCAGTGCTGAAAGAGAGAATCAAGATCAATAAG